AAAGGGGAAGGGAGAGAAAGTTTACATTGGTTATTCTCCACTTTGTGCAAAGTTTAACTTGTCAAGTGTTGAATATTTATACCCCTTCTCTAGAAACACTTCTTACTTAAAATTTTCTTTTTAATCTTTCCTAATCCCATTTTTTATAAAACTTAAATCAAATAAAACTCTACTTTTATAAAATATTTCTAATCTTATTTAAAATAAATGATTAAAATGCCATAAATAATTCATTTCAAATTATTTAAATACTTCACAAAATACTTATTTAAAATAAAATACGTATAAAAATACGGGATATTACACCATATATAAGCTAATATCACGAACAAACCAAAGATAAAAATATGCCAACTAATTACTTAATAGTAGAAGCATGACTCCACTAACAAAATATGCTCTGAAGAAAAAAAAAAACCCACTATCTCATAGGATTTATCACATGCAGTTGACTAATAAACAAATTGACCCACTAATAACATACTTCTAAAGCCTTTATTCATGACCAAGTACACGTAATTACTACTAATAATTAGGCATAACTATTTTGAATCAATCACACAACACTCCCCCTTGATTCAAAATCATAATTAATTATTAAACTAGCTTGCTACTAAGTTCAACAAGGGACAATGGAACTCGACACTTCAACGGCTCTTGCGACGATGGACTTTGACTTGAACTCGATACACTTTAACGATCTCGACACTCAAGGTACCTCAACCCCTACTTTCACGACACAACCACAACACTAGATTTAGAAGAGCTTAGTCTTTTCTTCTTCGCCCTTTTGAGCATAGTTAGATTAATCACCTTGCTCATCTCTTTGTTTATCCCAACAAAGGTCCTCTTTATGACCATACCTTTAGCAATAGTAACATTGAACGTTGCTTATATTTCTTGTGGATTGACCATTTCTTCCACTTTCTTCTTGACCCCCGCCTTGTACAACACCACCACGACCACGATTGCAACCACCAAAGCCACTCCTACCTTGACCACCATCATATGCTCCCTAGTCTTGCAAGCTACCTGCACTTGGAATGCTTTTTTTTTTTTTTTTCTCCTTCATCATCACTCTTATCAATTCTTTCTTCATGAGCCAACAAAGAACTCATCAACTCATCGAATGTATAAGTTGACAAGTCCTTAGAGTCCAATATTGCAGTGACAACATGCTTATAATTCTTTACTTTGTAAGAGTTCTCAACACCTTTCACAGATGTTTCATCCGTGATAGTATCACCATAAATAGGGATGTCAATGGGGCGGGGCGGGGCGGATGTTGACCTTCCCATCCCCATCCCCACCTAACATTTTCATCCCCATCCCCATCCCCATCCCCGCGGCGGGCTAATATTCATCCTCATCCCCGCCCCGGCGGGTACAACTCCAAAACCATCCCCGCCCCACCCCCCCACTTGGATATCCATCCCCACCTAATCCCCACCAAATACCCGCCTAATCCCCACCCAAGACCCACCAAATTTCCGTGTCTCAAATACACAATCCTACATAATTAATACGGATTATAATATTAAAAAAAATTCTTAATATTACATACATTTTTGTTTATAATATAAGTGTAGTACAAATATTATAATTAATATTTACTTCACGTAATTATTTTATAAAATAATATAAAAGTATATAAGTGTGGGTATGAGGTGGAGATGGGGCGGGTACGAAATGGGGCGGGTGGGGCGGGGCGGGGATGGGGCGGGTACAACTTAAAATCCACCCCCGCCCCATCACCCATGGCGGGTATCGTTTTCATCCCCATCCCCGCCCAACACCCGCCAAACCGAGACCCATCCCCGCCCCACTGGGGCGGGGATGGGGCGGGTCTCCTACTTGACCCGCCCCACTGACATCCCTAACCATAAATTTTGTTACTCTAGATAAATTTTTTTAACAGATTCTTTATCTTGCATTGCCAAACTTTCAAAGCTACTACGAAGGGTTCGTAATTTGGCTGCCCCTATTACCTTCTTGTCTCCAAAGAATTCTTTTTTCAAAATCTCCCATATGCGTGCTTGGATGTTGACGTAATGGAAATTCGTGGAAAAATCTCATCCTTCAATGCTGATTGGATAAACAATAGAGCCTCAAATCTTTCATACGATTTTCCTGTAAATATTGATCGAGAATAGCCGGTGTCGGGTTTGGCTCATCTTAACCATACTCCACCAAATCCCATAACTCTTCGGACTTGAACAAGATCTTCGTTTTGAGACTCCATAAGTGATAATTCTCTCCTTTAAACATGGAAATAAAGGGCTGCGACAATGAGTTTATACCACCATTTATCATACTTTCTCACTCATTAATCTTACTCGAAAAAAATACCACGAAAAACACTAATGAAACACTCACGACTCTTTTTTAATGTGTTATTGGCTTAAGACCGAACCTGGATTAGCCGGATACCATGTTGGTTATTTTAACATAAAAAGAAAGAGAAGCATTTTAAAATCTAATTCATTAATTACATTTTTCCTTAAACAAACATCACTGACTTTCCTTATATAGGCCAATATCATGGACAAAACAAAGCTAAAAATATGCCAAATGATTACTTAATAATAGGAGCAGGACTCCACTAACAAAATATGCTTTAAAGAAAACAAACCCACTATCTGTATTTCTTAACTATAATAAACATACAGTTGACTAATAAACAAATCGATCCACTAATAACATAATCCTAAAGCCTTTATTCATGACCAAGCACACGTAACGACTACTCCTAATAATTAGGCGTAACTATTTTGAATCAATCACACAACAGTGAGGTAACGCTGGCTAGGGTGGTGTATGATAAGGTGTCTTGTGGAGTACGTTACTTGTTAGATGATTGATGATGGGTGAGAAAATTAAGGCTTTTGTGGTGTACAATAAGGAGTGGGTTGCGAAGGAAATCTTATATACAAAGTAAGGTCTTATTAACTTCACCTTAAAAAAATTAATATTTCGTAAAAATAATGTAAAAATAAGATTAGTTCAGTAAAATAATTTCAGTTAAGAAGAAATAAGTTTAGTTTAGTAAAAATCAGTAACTTTAATTAAGAAATATAATAGAGTATTAGTAAAATAATTCATTTTAATCAAAATAACTAAGTTTAGAAATAATAATTTCAGTTCAGTAAAAATTAGATGAAGTGAATAGGGCTGACTTAAAGAATTAAAAATGCTACAAGCATTTGATTACTTTATCTAAATTAAATAAGAGAAAGTAAAAGTGTAGAAAACAATGTAAAATAAATGAAAATGATTGCAAAAATAACCTAAAATCTGCTCCTATGAGTGCTATAAATGACACTCAACACGAGAACATATATGACAATTAAGCTAGCCACTATAATATGATGGAAAGGCTCGAATGCCCTAAAGATATAAAACACATACTCCCTCTGTCCAGTTTACTTGCAACATTTTGATTGGACACACTTGCCGATGCACATGTTTGACCGTTGATATCTTTTATTATATATTTATATAAGTTATAAAAAGTTTATATTAAGAAACTATACATTAACATAGACCCAACAACATCTTACATGATTACATTGACTTTCTTATACTAGTTAAAAAAGATGGTCAAAGGGAGATGTGTGAATAGTGCAAAAAATCAAACTGTTGCGAGTAATTTGGGACGGAGGGAGTATATAGTATATGAAGCCCAAATAGTTGACTGCTTCAATACATATGATAGCTAGCTCGGAGGAAAAGTGAAACATAATGAATTGAAGGAATTTTGTTTGAAAGCTTTGTTTAAAATGCAATGGGGAGAGAGAAAGAGTTTGGTTCCTTTTTCCCCAAAAATCTTACCTTATAAGCCATTTCAATGGTGAAAGAGAAAGAGTGAGAGAGAGAAGAGATCGATATGAGAGTGAAATCAGTTCAAGCCAAGCTATTTAAACTAAGCAATTGAAGCATGTAAAGGAGAAAAAGTAAAATACACATTTTGAGGGGTGAAAGGTATTCATAAAGTTTTCCAAGTGCCAACTTGTGGCTTTTTAAAGGTTATAGATTCAAATGAAAAAGTAGGGGAATATGAAGCAAAGAAAATTACATGGATTAAGGCAAGTGGAGTTTGTTCCCATGTGAAAATAAGAGCATATTAGCCATTCTATAGTAAAAAAAAGAGTCTATACTGAATAAGGACGTGGCGTGACAGTTATGATGTTTCCGTTTTAGGGAAATGATGAAACTATATCCACACTTGTGCCAATATTGGTTTATTGTTACTACATCATGTGTTAGTAGTTTATATTTTCAACTTTAATGACATTATTCAAACAATCAAACATAATACTGTATTAATATTGATGTAAGCAATATTTTGTTTGACATTAGACAACTTAAAAAATGAATCTTGTTTTAAAGCAAATTTGTATATGAATTTGATGATATTAAATATACTAGTTTATAATACTTGTTATAAAGTTATAAATTGTTTTATGTAAAGCAAAAGTTATACTTATGGGATTAAGGTGTGATTGATTGGTTGTTTGATTGTTTGATGTAAATCAAATGCTAGTAATTTAACAAAACTTAAACTCTATTACAATCTCTTATTATTAAAATTATTTATTGGTTTAGATGATAGCTTAGGTGGCATCATTTTAATATTTAGAGTGGCATAATACTTTTTTTATTCTATAAGATGCCAAGTGGTGTGCTCTTGTGCTTAGAAAAACATGCGATTAAGTTATGTGATATGATAGGAACAATATTTGTGATAACGGAGTTTATTTATTTATTTTTCCTGTTATTGCTCCAATAACTTTGCAGCCATTTTGAAATAAAGGTTTGCCATGAAGTTTGTTATTGCTCATTCGCTGAGAAGTCACAAATGTTTGTTTATTTTGGTTACACTTTATGATATGATGAAACATAAATAAATGCTTAGTGGAGTTGTCTCCTTAAGTCCTTGAATATTATAGTTACTCAATACATGTGAGTGATGTGACTCATTATCTTGTATATGTGAACAGAGGGTGGAGGCCTTCATATAGAAATGTCTTGCTTGATGTGAGAAAAGAATTGAAAATTCCATGCTCTACGAAATTATTGACCGAGGACTTGGAGGTGGAAATCTTTATTCATATACTTGGGGAATGTTCAAGGTAAATGATGTTAATTTATAAAAATAATACGAAGCTACTGTCTTATTTAACTATGAAAGTACAACAATATTATACTTGAAAAAAATTATTATCTTGTTTAAATTTGGGCTTTGGGGCCTTTGGAGTTTTTGCTAGATTGAAAATAGAGAGTTGTGGAGATTGTATTGTGACTAAGGGCTCATTTGGTTCACCTTATTTTCGCCGGTCCAGTTCGGTCAGATGGTTTGAATTGACCAAACTTTGACCTTATGTGGATAATAATCTATAAAGAAAAAATGTGTCATGTGGGATCTGGTTAGATTTGTAATAATGTGTGCTTTATTAATTTATAATTTTTATAATTTTTTTTCATTACAAATTAAAGATATTTATCGATAAAATCCGCATATAAAACAATGATCTCATCTGAATATATTTTTTCTTCTGATATGAACTTAATGAACTTATTTTTTCTAAAATAAGTAAAAATAAGTTAAACTAAACAAGGCCTTTCACTACTAAGAAAGAAACAGTAGTGTAGTATACCTTAGGCCATTGTGATGTCAAAGTCTAATTTTCTTAAGACATAAAGCAACCTACATGCAACCTTTTATTAGGGCGCTTTATGAGTGATTGCTGTCTTATTCACTTAACTTGTTTCCACATAGAATGTCTACTTTGATTTCCTATAAATCTAAGAAAGCTTATTTAACTTATTAGTACATGATTTTTACTAACTGCCCATTCATTTTCTTAAAGGAATCTACCACATTCAAATACAAGAACCATAGTAAAGTGGAAAAAAGCGAAGGCTTTATAGAAATATAGGAAATCTTGTAAACCTCTTTAGAAGTGGAAGCATTTTGTAGATAAGATAATATAGGATTTTAGAAGTGGAAGCATTGATAGGATTTTATAAACTTTTCCAGTAGGTAAAAGCATTTTTCTTTTAATGTGGGCAATGATTGTTTTTAATTAAAGTACTCCGTATATTTAATAAGCAGTATGCAAGCTATCTGGTGCATTAGGCTTTTGCTTTAAGTATAGGCCAGGTTTATTGAACTAGAAATATGTTGTCAGATTTCAGATTGTATTTCTTTAGTAATCCAATACTTTAACTATATGGACATGCTGTGTGCTGTCATAAACTGCTAATAAAAATTTGTTTTTTATGAGCATGATTTGATACCTTGACTGTTGTTTACCCATTTCTCTTTTGATTTTTTCATATTTGATTATCATTTCAGAGACGGGGACACTGCTGCTGCACTAAAAGTTGGATCAGCAGAACTATGTTCTGTGCTTCTTAAAGTATTGCGTCTTTTACATCTTTCTCTAAATTTGTATATTTCTTTTATACTTAATATTGGATTGTGTAATTTCTTCCTTAGTTTTGTGTTTAGGGTGGTCAATTGATTTCGATGTTGAAGCTTTCCGAATTGGTAAGACATGTACAATCATATAGGTAATCAGGGAATTTGGATCCTCTATTGCAATTTTCCTCGCTTTCCTCCTAATAGTCTGCAGTTGTGTGTCCCTTGCTAGGTTACAAATAGGCTATCAGGAAAAATGCTCTTTGAAGCAGCTAAACATAAGCTGGATAGCAAAGTTGTTAAAAAGGTGTGTATTCATATTTAAACAGATCTATATAGATATTTGTTAATGAGACTATGAGATTGTTTCTTTTTATTACCTCCCCATCTTTAGACGTACACGTGTTACCTGTGGAGAAACAAATTGCTGACGGTTTGGACACAAATCATGTTGAACTCACTGCTTTGAATTTAGATGTGGCAAAGAATAAGATTTTGGACCCATATCAATGGTGGTAATTCCTTTATCTGAATCACAAACTATTGGGTCAATCAAGTCTAACCAAGCATTTCGTCGGTCCAACTATTATTTGTACGACAATATAAACTTCTCACTCCCTCATTTCCACTTACCATCACCTACAATACTCCCACTCAATCCTACTTCACTTTCTCTCCTTCTTCTCCTTTAAATCACCCCTATTTTCTCTCTCCTCTAAATTCCTCTATTTTACTTGTCCATGATTTTATGCTTGAATTGAAGAGGATGGAGAAAAAATGTTGTTGATTATATTTATCCGTGGTTTATGCTTGAATTGGCTTGATAATTGATTGAGATTCTCGGATTTTTTGAAAATTACCCAAAAAAATCGATTTGGAACTTTCATGTGTGATGTATAATTGTTGAAATTGATTGTCCTATGTGATTGTATGTTGAATTGTGTATGTTTTGATAACAAATGTATGTATTTTGGTTGGAAAATGAGCATGTTATGTTATAACAATGAGCTTAGTACGGGATTTTAATGATGGTTCTGCCATTATTGACCCTTTAATTAATTTTTATAAAATAAATTCTATAAATTGGATGATATCATCTATAAGTTGGATGATATCATCATTGGATGATATCCTCCATAAGTTAAATGATACCATGTATTGTGTCTATAATATTATCTATACGATGGATGATATCTCCTCTAGGCGATAAATTAAAAGGGAAATGTTGCAACTTCACTAGGTGAATTGCATGGGAGAGGTAAGGGGAGGAACCCCTGTTCGTCAAGGTGAAGACTGTATGTGTCCAACGACATGTCCTTGTCAAGGGATCAAGCAACCTTTATTTTTATTTTTATTATTTAAAATAAAAAAAACTATTTCAATTCTCCTTCAAAATAAAATCCTCTTTTTTTTTTCTCTCTCCAATAATTTTTTAATTGCTTAACTTTGTATTTTTGGTTTGCATCAAATAATACATAATCCAACAAAATTTACATATCCTCTATCAAATAATATATATCATCTAACAAATTATACATCCATATCCTCCATCAAATAATATATATCCTCTAATAAATTGTACATAATACTCATTAAATAATATATATCCCTCCAAAGAGTTATACATATCCTCTAACAAGTTGTACATGTCCTCTATCAAATAAAATATCCTTTAATAAATTGTACATATCCTCTATCATATACTACATATTCTGTCACAAACTGTTCATATCCTCTATCAAATAATACATATCCTTCAACAAACTGTACGTGCCCTCTATTAAACAATACATATCATATATAAATTGTGTATATCCTACCTCAAATAATATATAACCTTCAACAAATTGTATGTATCCTCTATCAAATAACACATTATACTACCTAACGCATCGTCAAATGCCTATCTCTAGATCAAATACAATTTATACTACCTAAACAAACCTAATATGAGTATAAGACAAGCATAGGGGTTAAACCACTAGGAACGAATAAACACTACCAAATGTTATCAACAATTAATCTAGTCCGGAATAGGAAATAAATAAACTAAAGTCTAAAAATGCTAAAACAAGAAATAAAACATTAAGGAAAATGGTTTAAGAATAACATCCACTAAAGCATAGCAAAGGTATAGAGATTGAATTAATCATGAACTAAACATGCTTGAATATCAAAGTAAGGTCCAATCTAGTCACCCGTCGGGGTCAATTGACTTCTCCTAATATAGCCTCTATGCTTCCACATTAGAACCATATACTGGGAGGTGCTATCAAATAACAATCGATACAAATGAATCTTGCTAGGTCCGTTATCGCATCTTCTAACAATAAGTCTCTCCCAATCAACTAACAACATGCATTTTGCAAGTAGATTGAAGAATATCAAGCATATAAAGACTTTAATAATAAATAAATCAATTCCAAACCCTAGAACATGTTCAAGATCCAACTACACCACAACTATCCCCTTAATGGGGAAATTACTCACTAACCATGATAATAACAAGATTAATTAACAAATAACCAAAAATCAACATGATTAACAAGCAACACTAACAGCTAAAACAATAATAAAAAAAAAGCAAATAAAATAGAGGAGAGAGAGTTAGAGATTCTCATTGATTGTTGATGAAAGTCTACAAACAAGATGATCAATCTTCTTCTTCAAAATCCAAGCTGAACAATGGTGAAACCATCGCTTTCTCTCCCTAAACTACTCTAATCCTAAGCTAAACCTACAGAGAGAAGCTCTCCTAAACTAATTAAGAGAATAGAAAAATTGTTTCCTTCTAATTACCCCAAAAATGGGTATTTATACTAACTTAAGAAAATAGAAAAATAAAATAAGGGAAAATAGAATAAAATAAAGCTAAATTAGAAATAAGAAAAGGAAAATAAATAAAAGGAAAAGGAAAAGGAAACAAAAATAATAATATAAAAAAGGCAAATCCCCCAAAACCAAAATGTCAGAACCCCCAAATTAAATCCTCTTCCTCTTTGATATTTGGCTGCTTGTTTCATCACCAACATTCATCAACCATCAACAACAATCATCAACGGTAATCATCAAGCATCATCTTTCATCTTCGATTGCGGCCGTTTAAACCTTAATTAAAAATCACGCGCAAGGCTTGTGAAATGGTTTGGTCGAACCGTGGGTTGGTGTGGTCGAACTATGGGTGTGTTCGACCACACCTCTTCAAATTAGAAAACTTCCAATGTGTCCGACTCTTTTAGCACTTCGACCGAACTCCTTAATGGTTTGTCCGAACCCGATTAATTTGAATTTGCTTTGATTTGGGTCTGTTGCTTGTGCGAATTGGCTCAAGGTGTGTGGTGTTGCAGCGGTGGAGATGGGCTCGGTTTTTGTTGGTTGTCGCTTGGTGGTGGTTGGTGTAGAGGTGCGGCACGGCTGCAAGGGAGCTGTTGTGGGTTTCGCGGTGATGTTTTTCTGGGTTAATTAGTGATTTGGGTTAATTAGTGATTTCGGTGGCTGGTGGTTACTGCCAGGTGCGGGTGCTGATTTGGGCTGTTCGTGGGGTTTGTATGATGGCAGCAGCGAGGGGTGTGTGGTACTGATTGGTAGCTGTGCGGTTTTGGTTGCGGTGGCTGAACAGGGAACAGGTGATGAGTGGCTGTGATTTGGTGGCAATTGATGGGAGGTGGAGCCGTGGAGATGCGGTTGGAGGTTGCTTGCGGTTGGTGGAATACGGGAGCAGGGGTTGACTTGGATGTTGTGGGTTTTGCTGAAATCGGTGTTCCGTTGGGTTGGTTTGGGTGGCTGAAGGTTAATTGGTGGCTGCTGTATGCGTGAGGGAGAAGGGGATTTGTTGTGCCTGGGCGCGGTGGAGGATAAGGTATGGTGGGGGTGATGGATAAGTTGGCAGCAAGAAGCAGGGCAGCTTATGATGTCCTTCTCTCAAACCAGAAACTCACTCCATTTGGATATTGTAGCATATGCCTTGAACCTCGAACACACCTACAAACACGAGCAAGACTGAGGAGAGGATTGGGCAAAGAAAATAAAATATATAATAGAAATAAGAGAAATAAAACTTAACTAACAAAATTAAATAAAACACAAACAAATAAAACTATGAAATAGACTCAAAACTAATTAAAATAACTAAAAGTAAATTAGATTACTTTCGAGGAAAAATAAAGAACGAAATAAAACAAAACAAAAGCAAATAAAATACGAAAATAAACTAAAACTAATTAAATAAAGAAATTAAACTAAAACACTCTAAAATAAAAAGAAACTTTATTAATGAGGAAACAAGATAAAATAAAACAAAATAAACATGAAAACGACTCTAAAACTACTCCCTAAGAGTGACATAAATGTCACTCATCACACATCCTTGAACAAGTTATACATATTCTCTATCAAATACCACGTATTATCAACAAAATGTATCTATCCTTTATCAAGTAATATCCTCTAATAGACTATATATATCCTCCATCAAACAATACATATCATCCAACAAATTGTACATATCCTCTATTAAATAATACATATCCTTCATCAAATAATTTATATCCTCCAATAAATTATACATATCTTCTATTAAATAAAACATATACTCTAACAAATTGTACGTATCCTTCATCAAATAATTCATATTCTCTAACAAATTGTACATATCCTCCATCAAATAATTCATATTCTCCAATAAACTTTACATATTTTATATCAAATTATATATATCATCTAATGAACTATACACATCCGATGCTCTATTAAAAAAAAAATATCCTCCAAGAATTTGTATATATCCTACATCAAATAATTCATATCCCCTAACAAATTGTACATATCCTCCATAAAATAATTCATATCCTCCAATAAACTTTACGTATCCTATATCCAAAACTATATATCCTCTAATTAAATGTACATATTTTCTAACATATTATATATCCTCTATCGAATAATATATATCTTCCAACAAATTATACGTATCCTCTAACGAACTATACAGGTTCTGTAACATAGTGCATATCCTCAATCAAATTGTATGTAATCTCTAAAAATAAAAAAATAAAAAATTAAATTTAAAAAAAAAAACTATTTATAAAAAAAAAATTAATAATTAAAAATTAATAGGTCAGCAATGGAGGAACCACTTGAAGCTCATGGGTATAACATAACTTGCTCATTTCTCAACCAAAATACATGCATTTGTTATCAAAACACTCACAATTCATCGCACAATTCCATAAGACAATCAATATCAACCATTATAAATCATACAAAAAAGCCCCATTTCGATTTTTTTTTTTTTTTGGGTATTTTTGAAAAATCCCAACGAGTTTCTGACCGCTCAATTGTATATTGCATAGCTTGTGATTGTTGTTGTTGGGATGATTGTTGAATTTGTTGTTGCTAGGATGTTTGTTGCCGCACGAAATGTTGGGTGCGGCTTGCCGCACCCAATACCTTCTCTATCGGAATTTACATCTCTTAGAATTGTCATTCACGAGATGAGTTGATTAGGGGAAGGTGGTATGGTTTCATGAATTTGCTCTGCTTGCTGTTTCAGTCTTACTCTCTGTCTTCATTTTTTTTATTGCATATTCACGTTTAAAAATTCATTTCAGTTCTCACTTTATAGCTTCAATTTCACCTCTAAGTTCTTGTTAACGTTATTATTTTATTACATAGATTAGTATCAAGTACATGGTGGATACTGGATATAGTATTATATATAAATAATTCTCTGCACAATTTTCTGCTGTTTTTTTAGTAGTGCAGAGACTGATTAGCATCATTTCCAACATTGTCACTTCTCCTGTCAAGTTTGTTCAGTAAATATTGTGATGCTTGGGTGCTGAACCGTTATATTTCTCTATGTTGGTAGAAATACAATTATTCTGTGTGGAAGAAGGCCAAGGTTGAAATTGCAGGCTGTTTTATTTTGCTTGCCATATGTAGTCAAAGTGAACTAGAATTACTGCCAGTCTTGCAACTTGGTCAATTTGTTGCAGTAATTGGTCATTAGATGTGTAGTTTTTTTAAAAGCAATCTGCATATGTATGAATTGATGGAAAGAGGCTGCCTAGGTACAGCTTGGGTAGACCTACGCTGTAGGCACCTGGGAAAACTGTCATGGATGCCCAATTTTTGAATCCAAAACTGATAAAAACAAACAGAACTGAAATATACTCAAATTAGATGATCCAAATATGACGTGTACACAAATTTATTATTAAATATGAAATCAATGCTAAGTCTTTGACCAATATTTATCTGAACTAAAATTGTAGCCCTGGCTGAACTGATTGTAATGGTTAATTCGTCAAGGTGAACGCATTACGCATATTTCTTTTGTTGATAGCTGTTTTTGTAGAACAATTTATGGCGTAAATGTGTAAATGCCTGGTAGGTATATTATCTAATCTTGTACGAGTATAATTACCCATGTCAATAAATGTCATAGAGTTACTGCTAAGTGCTAATTGCTAAAGGGCTTATAGGAACCAATATTTATGAAGAGCCTAAAAGTGTGTTTTGGTTTTTTCACGTTCCCTCTAAGTTTTTTTACCAAGTACCCCCCCCCCCAAACTCTTAATTATTAGCTTCACTCAAAGTGTGATTAAACCTCACAATGACTTGTGAATCACTAAACGCTCAATTATCTATCAAAAAAAGTTTTGTATATATCCATCTTTGTTCCCTTTGTATTTGCAAGTAATGGCATGGCTTATTTAACTATCAATTTTTATTCCATTATTTAAACTTAGACTCTGTGTGGTTTTTTTTTGTAGGGGCTTACTGGGGCTGCATCAAAGTATCTTGGGTTTCAGAGTCTAGCTGCATTCATTGGTCCAATGTAAGGGACTGTGCCCTAGATTTCTTTTCCTTTTTTTATTTTTTATTTTTTACTTTTCTTTTTTTAATTTTATGTTTGATGAATTCTCAGGATCTGATATGTTCACTTATTCAGTGAACTCCATTACCCCTCCTTTAGGATGATGCAATTGAACATATTTTACTCTTCATTCTCTATAATTCCAATACAAATTTTGTTCATTTTCATTTTTTTTCTTTCTGATTATAGAAGACATGAATTTGCGAAATAGTCTAATAGAGTTAACATTGACTGCCATTTGCTACAGTTAGTGTGCTAGATTCCTTGGATAGAAGGGGGGGGGGGGGGGTTATTTTCACTTATGGATTTGTTACTTCTTGTTGTTCATTACTATATTTTCTATTCTACACGAGGTTTTCCTTTTGCCTTATCAGTGTCTTCTTGATTTTAAATGTTTCCCCTAATCTTTTACCCACACAAAATTCATTTAATCAATCAAAGCCTTAATCACGTAAGTGGGGTCAGCTACATGAACCAAAAATGATTGTGAAGCATACATTTAGTTTCCTTATTGCCTGCAAAATCAATCCATGCAATTCGTAGATGCCCAAAATAGTTGGACCTTTTCACAAGAAGTTTTGATTAGGTAGCCTAGATTTAAATATCCCAACTTAAAATTCAAGGTTTTTTAGTTAGGAGTCTATAGCTTGTGCCCAGCCTGTGGAAGTGTCATCATCCAAATGAAATAGGTTTAAAGATGTCCTACTTCTTCATTGAGGGGGCATTTGGTTTCTAAGAAGGAAACAGATACAAGGAGAAAATAGAATGACAAGCCCTCAGATTTCTCATGTTTGTTTAAAAACAAAGGATGGGAAACCTAACATACAACCATCACCACCACTACCCCTGTTTTTACTCTACAACTACCTCCATTGTTGTTGCCCCTATCTTCCCCCTAGATTCCCTTCTCTTTCGCCGCGACCCTTCCCCTTAATTCATGGTAACTCCCTCTCTCTTAGATCCAATTGTTTGGTGGCTTATGGTTGTGGTTGGTTTGATTTTGGGACAGGTGGTTGTACTGCATCCACCTAAAAGCCCACCCATTCGCCTTACTATAGGCGGTGCAACAAAGAGTCTTAGTCAGTCTGTTTTTTATGAGGAGGCAAGTGATACATGAGGATATTAGTTATGCTGAGAAAAATGCTCTTTTTTATTTGGTAAAAAAGCTACTTTTAGAAGAGAAATTCATCATAAAAGTCTGTAATAATTCCTTTTTGTCCAGGGAAAATTAGCCTCTCGTATTGCTAGTGTAATTACTTTCCCCTAGATAACATCATAATAATATTGCATTGTTAGTTTTCTTTCTTCTTCAGCATACAATGTATATCTCTCTTCCTCTTCTTTTCCCTCTTAAATCTGTATATGTGTATCTAATTTGTATGGCTTGGGGCTAGGAGTGTGTTGTCGTACTTGCATGGGCATGTGGGTCATATAGGCCATGGCATGCTGGTGGGCGTGCAACTACCACACAACATGGGGCTAGGCGTGCTAGCAGACGTGTAGTTGGGTGTCTTATTGAAGAAAACATTTATTTAAACCGTGTATTATTTTTGAAGATCTATGCGGTTCAAACCCTCATTGGCAATAAAATTGCGAAAAAAGACCTTTATCATGCTTTAAGATTCTAAGTTTTCTAGAATTAACTTTAAACATAATTAATTTTATCAATCAAACTCAAGAATAATATTTTAAGAATAAAAAAACTTTGTTAAAATCAAAGTGTCCGAATATCATATTTAGAGGCTGAATTTGGCCACGTAAGGGTGGTGCTCACTACCATAGGTAGTGAGTCGTTGTTAAAACGTTGTTTCCACATGAAAAACACTACTTTTTCATCAAAATCGGATGAGTTCAGAACCTGATCGGGATTAAACCGGATTAATATTAACGAACGAAAATCAATTGTTCACCAAAATTTCACCAAAATTTCAAAACATCATTACTACAAAAGCCCTAAATCAATTGTTCATAAAAACCCTAAAGTCATGATTTTCAATAATTAAAAACCTTAGGTTATAAAATTTACAAAATCTGAAAATTATGAGATTTATAAAATCTGAAATTATAAAGTTCAATCATCAAAATACAACTTGATACTAATTAAATTAATTTCAAACAATAAAATCAAAACCCATAAATCAATAATTATAATCATACAAATTAATAAAAGTAAGGAGAAAGAAAATAAGACTAACATTTTTGTGTGGGACATTTTTTGGGATTCATGGGGTATTTATAGGAGAGAATTGTAGGGTAAATAGGAAGATTGAGCCTCATAAAAATAATGGGTCGATTAAGTAAACAAATGGGTTAGGCTTGTGTGATTGGACATAAATTGTAGAATAAAGGTGCATAAAATAATTTGTTTAAATAATTTTCGACCCAGATTAATAATTTGAAACTTTTGAAATTAAATTATGAAAAATAACAAATAAATATTATAAATAAAATAAATTTTCATTTATAAAATATTTAAAAATAAGGGGTATTACAAAACGGCTCACAATGATTTAGGATACCCTAATCACTTGTGATCATGGAAATTTTCCTTAAATTCCCACATTACACATGGATGCACGTCCATGTTACCATTCTCAAGCCACGACTCATTTTTAGCTTGTGCTTATAAACGACTTCCTTGTTAAGGATCTAATCCTTGTTAAGGTTTGTGCTTGCAACATCAATTCTCAAATTGTATTTGTTTCCACAAGTCAAGAACTTATTCTGTTACTTATCCAAGTACTCTGTAACACCCCAATAATTCTCTCTTAAAAACCTGCGGGAAACCTGTATATAACCTGAACAATTTTCAAGAGAATTACTGGTGTGCTACCGCCATGTGTTCAAATGTTAAGGCTATCTCAGAAATTAGCAGCGGAAAACCAAAACAGTTTTAAATAAACCTCAAAACAAAGGAATTAAATCAAAATAAGTATTACAAGTTGGAACCATTAAGGCCCTTATTCAAAACCCAATAAAAGTAGTAAGTGTTTAAATTCAGAGTCCTAATAACTTCAAAATCAAAAGAATTAGCGTCAACTAAAAACAAATTAAATTAAATTCAAACTTTGCAAAATAAATAATATGGAAACAACCAACTCTCTACTCAAGATCCCACAACCCTGATGAATGCTGCATGTGTGAGAACCTGTGGTTATTCTGCTCCCCAATATTACAAGTGTAAAAATTGGATCGTCACAGGGTCATTGAAAGGCGAAGGCCATGACCAAAGAAAGACACACACAAAAGCACGCAGTCAGCAAAGTTGAGTACATACAAGCTGCGAAAACGAATTGAGAAAATACCTAACATGCTACTAATATTCAAGCACAAGCATCATTAAATATAGACTCAATTCACGACTCAATTCACAAATTTATTAAGACCTCACTATTTAATATTAACTGACTCGTTTATTTATTTCATTGGATTTAGCAATAGACAAGGTTGTCCAACTCATGTCCCATTTGGAACATCAATAAAGAAAAACCCCATGCCTCCTTTTGGAAACATCAATAAACATCCAACGACCACGGGCGCGACTCCGTGACCGTAGATAGTATGAGATCTCACCTAACTCCTAGTTTTAGAAAAATAATATTTGAAAGAAGAGATTCGTAGATCAGACGGCCTCAAGAAAAGTACACGGCTAATACCCCATGTACCCCAACCCCTGATTGTCATTACTCCAGAAGTGCATCAATCCAGAGTTTTATTGCTCATCCACCTTGCACTTTACGTGATTTACAGGTTTAAACTTGGTGATGACTCATATGCATAACAATACAATTAATCCAATAACAATATAATAAATCCAATATCAATTCAATCAAGTCTCTTGTGATCTATCTTCACCTTATGGTACGTTAGACACTTGGATACAAACTCAGCTACCTCTCTCTTCATATTCGGCCACCAATAGAACTCTTTCAAGTCCTTATACAACATATCTCCCCCAGGGTGAACTGAATAAGGTGTATTATGGCACTCCTCCATGATTTTTCTTTTAACATCCTCACACTTTTGTGGTATACACCATCTCTCCTTATATCTCAAGCTCCCATCCTCATGAATCTTGAATTCAGTCTCCGCACCACTGGTCACACGATCCCTAATCTTCTGAAACGACTCATCCTCCAGTTGCCTTTCTCTAATCTCCTCAAATATTGTAGGTTGGATGGTTAAAGAACTCAGTAATCCCTCTAACTCTCCTTGATTGATAACCTCAAGGTTCAGTCTCCTCATATCTTCACACAACTCATTGGCCACATTTAAAGCATTGACATTATGACTCGACTTTCTGCTAAGGGCATCAGCAACTACATTCGCCTTTCCCTCATGATACTGAATGTGGACATGGTAGTCTGTAAGATATTCCAACCATCGACGTTGCCGCATGTTCAAGTGATCTTGGGTAAAGATGTACTTTAGACTTTTATGGTCCGTGAAGATCTTACAAGAAACCCCGTACAGGTAGTGCCTCCAAATCTTCAAAGCGAATACAACAGCTGCAAGTTCCAAGTCATGGGTAGGGTAGTTGACTTCATGCTTCTTCAGTTGTTGTCTTGATGCGTATGCGATCACCCTTCCATTCTGCTGTAGGACACATCCCAAACCATGCTTCGAGGCATCACTATACACTTCGAATCCTTCTATCCCATCAGGTGCAGTGGTCAATCGCTCTTTGAGGGTTTCAAATGCTGACTCACAACTCTCATTCCACTCAAACTTGCTCTGCTTCTTCATAAGGATAGTCATGGGTCTAGCTATCTTCGAAAAATCCTTAACAAACCTTCTATAATACCCAGCTAATCCCAAGAAACTACGAACATCAGTAACATTCTTAGGTGTAGGCCACTCACTTACCACCTTGATCTTCGCAGGATCTACGGATACACCCTCCTTCGAAATGTAATGCCCCAAAAATGCCACTTTCTCCAACCAGAACTCACACTTGGAAAACTTAGCATACATTTTGTTCTTTCTTAGAGTTTCAAGGGTAGTTCTCAAGTGCTCAGCATGTTCTTCCTCACTCTTCGAATACACCAAAATGTCATCAATAAACACAACTACAAACTTATCCAAATACTCATGAAACACTTGGTTCATCAAATCCATAAATATGGCTGGTGCATTGGTTAACCCAAAAGGC